ACTAGTCACTTTAATAATGTTTACATATCTTGCACTACTCATCTCATATGCTATACTGTATTCTATTCTATAATATTCTACTGTATCTTAGTCCATGCCGCTCTGTCATTGCTTGTCCATATATGTATATATTATTTAATTCCATTCCTTAATAGATTTGTGTGTATTGGGTATATGTTGTGAAATTGTTAGATATTGTTAGATATTACTGCACTGTCAGAGCTAAAAGCACAAGCATTTCGCTACACCCACAATAACATCTGCTAAACATGTGTATGTGACAAATAAAATTTGATTTGATTTGATTTGTCTTCATTTAGCATTCAGGATTAGAAAGAGAAGGATCCCATATCTACTATAGATAATTGCCACCACTAAGAGCCGGTCCACCAATTATGAAGCCCCATTGTTAGGTGAAAGACATGGAGACAGACACAAAGACCGAAACCAAGGGACCATCTGAAAGTATTCTAGTGTGAGTGACGGGCTGTCGGCTGTGAAAATAAAAATCTACCATCACAACCCTCCATCTCCCCATCCCAAACATAGCATGATGGGAGGGGAGTGATCGATGATAGTAGTTTACGCTTGAATGGCAAAACAAGCCCTTCATCATCAGTTCTGTAGACGTCACAGACTGAGGGTCCGATCACGACAAGGAGAGAAAGAGATAAATGTTGCCACCAAAGAAATAGTGGCTTTCTGACAGCGAGAGAGAAATGTGTATGATGGGGAGAGACAGCGGTCAAAAGGAAGGGTGTGTGCATGTGTGTGTGCCTGTGTGTGTGTGTATGTGTGTGTGTGTTATTCTGTACCTTCTCTCCCTCCGCAACTCTGTATATCACTCGTCACTCCATCTACATGTAGGTGTGTGTGTGATCTGAGGGAATCATCTTTAGGGACAGGTAATAGTTTTTATGTTCTGAGTTCTGGTCGTAGTGTCTATAGAGCATGCTCTGTCATGCTATCTGGATGGGTGCAGGCCCAATAACTCTCTACTGTAACACCCATGCACGCACATACGCACACACACACACAGAAACACACGCGCACACACATTCACATGTTATGTTCTTCTCACACACACAAACACACACACACACACACACACAGCTGACGTTTCTTTCAGCTGGGTAAAATGAATCGTATACGTTTTTTAAAATTGAAAACTGACTCGCCAGATCCACCACAGATACTGTGTTCAGGCAGTCTTGGAGGGATATGGAAGATCAATAAAAGGTGTTTATTTTGCGTACCAACGGGTGACGCTTCATGATTCTCTACAGGGGAAATGTGGTTCTGCTTGCCTCATTAAATAATATTGAAGACTAGCACGTTCTCCATGTAATACACAAGTGTTCTATGGAACCTTCTGGCCAACACTGCAATACACTGCAGTACGTCGCGGGCTCCTGAGTGGCGCAGCGGTCTAAGGCACTGCATCTTAGTGCTAGAGGCGTCACTACAGACCCTGGTTCGATTCCAGGCTGCATCACAATTCGGCTGTGATTGGGAGTCCCATAGGGTGGCACAATTGGCCCAGGTTTGGCTGGGGTAGGCCGTCATTGTAAATAAGAATGTGTTCTTAACTGACTTGCCTAGTTAAATAAAGGTTAAATATTTTTTTTAAATAAACAGAAATGCATGTATTAGTTCAGCATGCTTCCAATGGAAAGATGACGCAACATCACTCTAAGGAGTTGATAATAAAAGATAAGAAGGGTGTTACACCAACTACAAGTTCTTTAACAAAGAGAGAATCTATGAATCATGGAAAATTAAGTATAATTTCTAAGTCGATGATAGGGCCTCTATGATTACAGCTGTCACCCAAAAACAATATCCAGGGGGGACAGGCTCATTATCTCGCTCAATTACAATCAATCACACAGAAATGAGAAATTAACTTTCTCTGTGTGTGTGTGAATCCGTGCATATGTAGATGATGGTTCATGAATGTTTTTCCTTCAGGATCCTCAATAACAGATCTCTGTGTTGGAGTAAAGAGAGGGGGTTGTGGGTCTGAAAAAATAAAGGAAGACTTTACTAATTCTAAATGTTATGGTTTCAGCTCAGACAACAGAGGATATTGTTAGGACTGTTGAGATAATTCATGAGGTACTGTATACAGTATGTTGTTGTTGTTAACAATACCCCCCTCTTCTACAGCGCTTTTCTAAAACCTAAAGACCCTTTGTTGCTTGTAATTGATCAGGGGTTGGGTGTAAGGTTAGTGTAAAAGCTCAGGTTCAGGTTAGGGGTTAAAATCACATTTGTAAAAATAAAAATGTGTTCTTCTGCACTTTCTAGCATGGATATACTTTATGAATCCCCAAGGAGAAACTGCGACTGTGACTGCTGCTGAAGTAGGGATGTCATGCGTCACTTTGACTGACAGGTGGTGGAAAGTCCAGGTGGTTAATGGGGATTGCATCATCATCATCATGCGTCATCGAACGCATCACCAGGCGTGTTATACAGAGACCACCCAAAAGCACAGCACAACCTCTCCTTGAGAAATATTCAGAAGACTTTACCAAGAGGAGTGATGGGGAAGGAGACACAGGACAGGCACATACAAGCACACATACACATACACACACATAAACTCGCACACACACTAACACACTAAATCTAAAACACACACACACTCAAGGTTTTGGGATTAGAACTTTATTATGCTGTGTTACTGTCACAATATAAAACCAATATTGTCAAGCTAATAATTTTCATACAACTGCTTGACAATATCATGTTGTCATAATCATTTACATGTGATGGATACTTAATCATGAATAAGAAACATGCTCAAGCAACTGTAATTCAATTTACATTTCTCATTAAGTGACACATAGTTTATGTCAGAAAGGGTTTCAAGAAACAAGCTAATTTTTGAATGGAAGGAACATTGATAGTTACAATACATTGCAAAAATCAATGAAAAGGTGGATGAATGACAGAATAAATAAATCAATCAATCAATTAACCAAGCAGACAGTTATTCTGACATCAAATTATTATTATATTTTTTTGGCCTCAGGGTATGTGACGATAGCTTGGGTACCAGTCTGTTTCTGCTCTAGCCAGATCTTTGTGGTTATGTTCTCTGGCGAGAAGTGTTGTAGAGAGAAGAAACAGTCTGGCACTCAGGCTAGTGTGACACCATGTTTACAACCGTTTTAAATCATCCTTTTTGACGCGTTGGAGGGACAGAAGTATCCTATCTCTAGTAAGAGTATGTTGATTGATGATTTCTACTTTAGTCTAGTCTACTTCTGCTGTTGACAAACATATAGTGTAGTGGTTTTAGTAGCACTGAGACCATGGGGAATTGGGAAGTGATCACAGTAAATATTAAATGTTCAGCATGATGGGTGTGGTTGTAATTCGTTACTTTCTACCTCTGTTGGTTTGTAATTCTATTTCTATCCACGGGCCAATCTGAAATGGCTCCCTATTCCGTGTGCACTGCACTACTTTTGACCAGAGCCCTATGTACAGTCGTGGTCAAAAGTTTTGAGAATGACACAAATCTTAATTTTCACAAAGTCTGCTGCCTCAGTTTTTATGATGGCAATTTGCATATACTTCAGAATGTTATGAAGAGTGATCAGATGAATTGCAATTAATTGCAAAGTCCCTCTTTGCCATGAAAATGAACTTAATCCCAAAAAAACATTTCCATTGCAATTCAGCTCTGCCACAAAAGGACCAGCTGACATCATGTCAGTGATTCTCTCGTTAACACAGGTGAGAGTGTTGACGAGGACAAGGCTGGAGATCACTCTGTCATTCTGATTGAGTTAGAATAACAGACTGGTTGCTTTAAAAGAAGCTTTAAAATCATTGTTCTTCCTCTGTTAACCATGGTTACCTGCAAGGAAACACGTGCTGTCATCATTGCTTTGCACAAAACGGGCTTCACAGGCAAGGATATTGTTGCTAGTAAGATTGCACCTAAATCAACCATTTATCGGATCATCAAGAACTTCAAGGAGAGAGGTTCAATTGTTGTGAAGAAGGCTTCAGGGCGCCCAAGAAAGTCCAGCAAGCACCAGGACCGTCTCCTAAAGTTGATTCAGCTGTGGGATTGGGGCACCACCAGTGCAGAGCTTGCTCAGGAATGGCAGCAGGCAGGTGTGAGTGTATCTGCACGCACAGTGAGGCGAAGACTTTTGGAGGATGGCCTGGTGTCAAGAAGGGCAGCGAGCAAGCTACTTCTCTCCAGATAAAACATCAGGGACAGACTGATATTCTGCAAAAGGTACAGGGATTGGACTGCTGAGGACTGGGGTAAAGTCATTTTCTCTGATGAATCCCCTTTCCGATTGTTTGGGGCATCCGGAAAAAAGCTTGTCCGGAGAAGACAAGGTGAGCGCTACCATCAGTCCTGTGTCATGCCAACAGTAAAGCATCCTGAGACCATTCATGTGTGGGGTTGCTTCTCAGCCAAGGGAGTGGGCTCACTCACAATTTTGCCTAAGAACACAGCCATGAATAAAGAATGGTACCAACACATCCTCCGAGAGCAACTTCTCCCAACCATCCAATAACAGTTTGGTGACGAATAATGCCTTTTCCAGCATGATGGAGCACCTTGCCATAAGGCAAAAGTGATAACTAAGTGGCTCGGGGAACAAAACATCGACATTTTGGGTCCATGGCCAGGAAACTCCCCAGACCTTAATCCCATTGAGAACTTGTGGTCAATCCTCAAGAGGCGGGTGGACAAACAAAAACCCACAAATTCTGACAAACTCCAAGCATTGATTATGCAAGAATGGGCTGCCATCAGTCAGGATGTGGCCCAGAAGTTAATTGACAGCATGCCAGGGCGGATTGCAGAGGTTTTGAAAAAGAAGGGTCAACACTGCAAATATTGATTCTTTGCATAAACTTAATGTAATTGTCAATAAAAGCCTTTGACACTTATGGAATGCTTGTAATTATACTTCAGTATACCATAGTAACATCTGACAAAAATATCTTAAAACCCTGAAGCAGCAAACTTTGTGAAGACCAATACTTGTGTCATTCTCAAAACTTTTGACCACGACTGTAGACCGGTCATAGCCCTATGAGACTTTGGCCAATAGTAGTGCACTAAATAGGCAAGGGGAAGCCATTTCGGACTTAACTGTTAGTTGGCTTTCTTCTTCTGCTTCTCCTGGAAGAAGTCGTTGCAGGCTACGGTCAGGGCCGCCACCAGAACCACAAACTCATTAAAGTCCACCTCGTTGTCTTTGTTGGAATCCAGATCATTCATGATCTTCTCCACCAGCATGGGGTCTTTCTGAGACTGGAAATGAAAACAAACAACAATTAATCAATCAATCATTAAATCAATGAATCAAAGAGCTATCCACCAATCAAATAATTTAAAACCTTGATACCGTCAATTTGATAATCTGAAGGACGGGGCTAGGGGAATGTAAACACTCTCAAATTCATATACAGATCTATGGATGCAAGGACTGACAGTCCATGAGATCGACATAGTTTTGAGTCTAAAGATTTAGGCATATCTCATAATTAAAACAACCATTGAACAGCAGCAAATCTTCTAGACTATGACTCTAATGTGTTCTGTTCCACTGAGCTTACTCCAGGCCTCCGACTCACTCTACTACTCTACTCAACAGGAAATAGACCGTCCTGAATCGTGTCTCATGTCGCCCATTGACCGGTCTAGATTCAGCTGCCTGGCCAATAAATAAGTCCCCTCAGGACAGCAGGCTGCAATTAGGCCCTGTGTCAATCTCCCAGCCAGAGATCTGAGATGGAGATGGGGGAGATCTGAGGAGAGACGCCTCAGGCTCTGAGTCATTGGATTCATGGTGCTGGAGCCCCATCCCGGATGTTAGACTGCCTAAGGCACTGACTGGGCACCGCACAGCACAGCAGGGCACCACACCACACAGCCAATGTCCATTGGAAGCCAGAGTGACGGTGGCGATAATCAATGACCCATAAACTGAGAACCATCAGAGGTGTGTGTGTGCCCTTGTGTGTGTGTGAGATGGTGACTGTTGGATGGTTTCTGTCAGTCAAGCCAAGTCAGCCCGTGATACAGAGCCCTGTGGTGCCATGGAGCTAATGGAGGTATGTAAGACACACACACACACATACACACACACCACACACACACACAGCTTGACTGTATATGTGCAAATGTAAATGAAAAGTCAGTATTTGGCCCCAAGGTGACAACAATGGATCTAAATAAGCAGTAATATCTATCGCCTCAGCATACAGTGTGACTGTGATCAGTGAAAGAGTTACTCAGTGATAGGTTACAGAAATAAATCACATAATTAGCTCAATGTTGTCCTCAGGATATGAAACGACAGTATGAGTCTCTGTCCAAAATGGCACTTTGACAAGTAGTGCACTAAATAAGGAATAGGGTGCCATTTGTGGCGCGTCCTGAATGTGTATTCAACTGTTACCAGTCTCTATACTTGTCAGAGGCACGTCGGTGGGTGGAGACTAGTGACATCAGAAGAGAGTAGTCCAAGTCTATATTTGGAGGTGATATGGGTCACTGGTGATGATGCGTAGGCACCTGAGGCTTCCTTCCATCAGAGGGAGGGAGAAGATGTAGAGAGAAAAAACGGAGGGGGAGAGATTTGTCTCTTCAACCCCTCACTCCATCTCTCACAGTATGAAGCTCATCCATTAGAACACAGACAGGCGGGTTCACTCCCCAAACACACTCGCATTCACACAGTCTTGTTTAACTAACCTTGTGGGAACACAATTTATAACCATTCAAAATCCTATTTTCCCTAACCCTAACCCTAACCCTAACCTTAACCCCAAAAACCTAACCTTAACCCTAACCCTAACCTTAACCTCCAAACCTAACCTTAACCATGACCCTAACCCTAAAACTAAACCTAACACTAATTCTACCTTAACCATAAACACCCTACAAATAGCATTTGACCTTGTGGGGACTAACAAAATGTCCCCAGTTGGTAAAAAAAAAAATAATGTTTACTATTCACACACACACACACACACACACACACACACACACACACACACACGTGTGCGAGCACAAGCACACGCACGTGCACATGCACATGCACACACATACACACACACCTGTCCACTCCTCTGCACCGTCATGGCCACTACAGCATGGTAGGTTATCTACAACAACCTACTACAATCACAGAGGGCAGTGAAGAGGAACTACTATCTTGCCTGCTTTCACAAAGTTACAAAAGCAAGAGACTTATACTCAACTAAACCAGAAATCAAAACTTCACAGCGGCTAAACTAATCCAGCGTAATGTAGAAGGATAAATGTCAAATAAGGTCCCTTTGCATTAATGTTTCCTTCTTACCTTCCTTTTTGAAAAACTAGAGAACTCTACCATTCTCTTAATCAACAATGTTCTACACACTTAGAAAAAAGGTACTATCTAGAACCTTAAAGGGTTCTTTGGCTGTCCCCATAAGAGAACCCTTTGAATAACCCTTTTCGTTGTAGGTAGAACCCTTTTGGTTCCAGGTACAACCCTTTTGGTTCCAGGTACAACCCTTTTGGGTTCCATGTACGGGGACAGCCGAAGAACCCTTTTGGAAAAACCCCTTTTCTAAGAGTGTAATTGTATGCTTTCTAGCCACTGAGGCATATTGAAGAACAGAAAAACAACATCGCCACGTCTCTGAGAATCATGTAAATATTGTGTAGTAGGTCTATAATTTGAATAAATTAACACAACAGACCACATGGATTTCTACAATCCTGACATGAGTGAGTCTGTTTTTAAATGCTGGACATTTGCAAATTCAGTATGTACTTGGTTGTCTAATTCATCTTTCAAGTCTCAATGTGTAATCAAGTAGCATCAAAAAGCCCCCCAACATATCCAAGTACAGCATAAACATCACTAATGTTCATCATGAAATTAATGGAAGGAAAGAATACAAGTTGAAAAGGTCACACTTCACTAAACCAAACCATTTCCAATAATTATAATTTTGTTTAACATAACGACGGCCGGATGTTATGTGCTGTTATGATTTATCTAAATGTGTGGGCTAAATGTCACAAGGAGGTTTGTAATTAAAGACAGCTAACTTATTATTTGAGGTTCAACACACAGCTAATGTGGTACATCTATTCACAAACATGTCACTGTGAGGAGGAGAGGGCAATTTAAATTATCCATAGCGACTTACAGTTAACTTGTGACACTTCTTACGATATGGTGCCAAATAAAAACAGATTGATATAAATATAAATTATACAGTTATTGTTTTCTATTCAGACTCTACCCACACAGGCACACATACTACACTGACACTCCAACACACACACACAATTCGCTTACACACAAAAAACACACACACATGCATATTGACGCTACACACACACTCACACATAGACACACTTTCACACTCTTCACATATGCTGCTGCTACTCTGTTTATTATATATCCTGATTCCCTAATCACTTTTACCCCTACCCACATGTACTTACTGTATTACCTCAATTACCTCAACTACCTCGCACATTGACTCAGGACTGGTACTCCTTGTATATAGACTCATTATTGTTTTTATTGTGTTACTATTTCCTTTTTTATTTAGCAAATATTTGTCTTACCTTTTTAACTCTGCATTGCTGGGAATGGGCTCGTAAGCAAGCATTTCACTGTAAAGTCTACACCTGTTGTATTCGGTGCATGTGACCAATACATTTTTATTTTATTTGATTCACAAATAATAGTGTCAACTCAGAAATATACCCATGTTTAGGGGCCTTTCAATTGCTAAATACTGTCTAGTGAAGAGAATACCAAAACATTGTGAAACTATGTTGAGATTGATAAATTATGAATATGAAACAGCTTCTTTACCATGAGAAAGTCAGTGAGTTCACTGTTCAGTAGCTGTTTCAGCTCTCCCTTGTTGAGCTTGTATTTGTCGCCGTCGTTCCCGGAGTATTTGTAGAAAACTGTTATAAGTGCGTCCATGGCACTCTGGAGTTGACTTGGCATGGTGCTGATAGGAGGGCAATGTCTCTCACGACCTACTGGGGAAAAGTGTAAGGGAAAAACTATTTAATTCTATGGCTACAATTATTCAAAAGCATGCAATAGGCGACATGTACAAATATTAGATATTACTCTACAGACAGACATGAAAACAACATATGGGTAGACATAACAAAAGCTCTATGGGAGAGGTGGTGTACCTACCTGGTTAGAATCCTGGGCTAGTGTGATCTGAGAGAGGTTGCAGCGTGGCTTGTTTATCTAGAAATCAGTGGCAACATGACGCTGCATCCTCCATCGCCATGGCAATAATTAATTCCACAGGTGAGAGACCCATGGTAACATGGTAACTGTGTCTTCCTGCCCTGCTTTTAATCAAAGGCCCAATGGTGGCGCCGTGAAAAACAAAACATATTCCCATATAGGCCCTGGTGTCCCCTGTGGGTTCACCATAGTCATAGGAGGCCCTCAGTGTTACTCCAGTGGAGAGATACTGCACCACGCCAGCTGAAAATAGATCTATGTACAATATGTGTCTCAGCTGCAATGAATGGGATTGTACAGGATATGTTCTTATTGAAGAATATGGGAGAACAAGGTGAAGTGGTTTTCAGTTGGAATTGTATGGCGCTACTTCATTTCACTGTGTTCATCAGTCACTGTTCTGAATGTGTTGTTTCTAGGTGCGAGAGCAGCAGATGTGGATTTAGAACTGAAATAGGCAATAACTTATGGACCTGCTGGTAAAATATAGGACAAATCTCACATTGGTATTTTGATATGATGATATTAAATATAGGTAGGCTATTTGCTTTTGTTTCATGGAGAGTCAAACACTTTTTGGACAAATTGGAACACCTGTGGACACACCCATCTCTCTCTCTCTCTCTCTCTCTCTCTCTCTCTCTCTCTCTCTCTCTCTCTCTCTCTCTCTCTCTCTCTCTCTCTCTCTCTCTCTCTCTCTCTCTCTCTCTCTCTCTCACATGCATCCTGATCATGTCCACATTCTGATTGTGCACAAATTCTTGGGGGTCTACACATGGTCCCTCCCTGTATGCAAATAGCACCGGTAGGGAGACTAAGCCTTAGGTGCTTCAACAACGCAGGCTGGTTCTTTTTTTAGCCTCCATGCCCCTACAGACCTCACCTGAGGGAGGGTGGATGCCCTCCTCTTCCACAGCTAAAATACATTTCCGTTAGTTAGGGTGATTAGGGTGATGAAACCGCTCCCTTCAGAGTTGGCCAAGCTAAATTAAAAAATGCTACGCAGAAGAAACATGTAATGTCCCCATGGAGGTGGTGAGAGGGGAAAAGCATAAGAAGTCCTAATGAAATTATATCTGTAAACATGATTGAATTACTCTCGCATTGCATAGAGACCACTGAGTCCCCCTTCGAAGTTTAAATGAAAATATTCTGTAAATTGGAGAATTAGATTACTTTGTTGTTGTGTCATGAGTTTATCTTGTTGTTACATTTGTGGTCTCTAAAAGGTATGTGGAACAGCTATGGACCAGACAACAGTAACACACAGTAACATACATTCTCATTGAGATACGTTCAAATCCCACAATGTGCTCTATCCTTCAACTTGTTCTAATACATATAAATGAGAAAAAAAAATCCAGAAAATCACATTGTAGGATTTTTAATGAATTTATTTGCAAATTATGGTGGAAAATAAGTATTTGGTCAATAACAAAAGTTTCTCAATACTTTGTTATATACCCTTTGTTGGCAATGACACAGGTCAAACATTTTCTGTAAGTCTTCACAAGGTTTTCACACACTGTTGCTGGTATTTTGGCCCATTCCTCCATGCAGATCTCCTCTAGAGCAGTGATGTTTTGGGGCTGTCGCTGGGCAACACGGACTTTCAACTCCCTCCAAAGATTTTCTATGGGGTTGAGATCTGGAGACTGGCTAGGCCACTCCAGGACCTTGAAATGCTTCTTACGAAGCCACTCCTTCGTTGCCCGGGCGGTGTGTTTGGGATCATTGTCATGCTGAAAGACCCAGCCACGTTTCATCTTCAATGCCCTTGCTGATAGAAGGAGGTTTTCACTCAAAATCTCACGATACATGGCCCCATTCATTCTTTCCTTTACACGGATCAGTCGTCCTGGTCCCTTTGCAGAAAAACAGCCCCAAAGCATGATGTTTCCACCCCCATGCTTCACAGAAGGTATGGTGTTCTTTGGATGCAACTCAGCATTCTTTGTCCTCCAAACACGACGAGTTGAGTTTTTACCAAAAAGTTATATTTTGGTTTCATCTGACCATATGACATTCTCCCAATCCTCTTCTGGATCATCCAAATGCACTCTAGCAAACTTCAGACGGGCCTGGACATGTACTGGCTTAAGCAGGGGGACACGTCTGCCACTGCAGGATTTGAGTCCCTGGCGGCGTAGTGTGTTACTGATGGTAGGCTTTGTTACTTTGGTCCCAGCTCTCTGCAGGTCATTCACTAGGTCCCCCCATGTGGTTCTGGGATTTTTGCTCACCGTTCTTGTGATCATTTTGACCCCACGGGGTGAGATCTTGCGTGGAGCCCCAGATCGAGGGAGATTATCAGTGGTCTTGTATGTCTTCCATTTCCTAATAATTGCTCCCACAGTTGATTTCTTCAAACCAAGCTGCTTACCTATTGCAGATTCAGTCTTCCCAGCCTGGTGCAGGTCTACAATTTTGTATCTGGTGTCCTTTGACAGCTCTTTGGTCTTGGCCATAGTGGAGTTTGGAGTGTGACTGTTTGAGGTTGTGGACAGGTGTCTTTTATACTGATAACAAGTTCAAACAGGTGCCATTAATACAGGTAATGAGTGGAGGACAGAGGAGCCTCTTAAAGAAGAAGTTACAGGTCTGTGAGAGCCAGAAATCTTGCTTGTTTGTAGGTGACCAAATACTTATTTTCCACCATAATTTGCAAATAAATTCATTAAAAATCCTACAATGTGATTTTCTGGAAAACATTTTCTCAATTTGTCTGTCATAGTTGACGTGTACCTATGATGAAAATGACAGGCCTATCTCATCTTTGTAAGTGGGAGAACTTGCACATTTGGTGGCTGACTAAATACTTTTTTCCCCCACTGTATAAACAAAGATTAATGGAGCTTCACATCACTCAGTTTCAGGTATTCGTGAAACAAATAGAAATAAGGGAGATTTTTAGTTGCAGCCCTCAGAAAAGGGTTGTGTATACACAAAATTAAATGTTTTGGAATCAAGATTCCAATGACATAAGTGAAAAACCCCTTCAGAAACAACTATCTATGTTCCAGAGCATAGAGGGCTTTCTTCCAGTGGTACTTGTCTTCCCTCTAGTGGTGCCATACAGTGCACAATATTGTGGTGCCATTGCCCATTAACACAGTGTTGATGTGCAATTATCACAAAAACTGAAGCAGAATTCATTGCCCATTATTGGGTTAATTTAGATAATATGATAAATAATGATATAAAGCCTTGTTTGAATTAGAAAGGGATTACTTGAGCTCCACCATAGAAACATCTCTGTGGTTAGTTCCAGTTGCCTCTTTTCACTTCCAACAATCAGACCTTATTCTCAGCAGTATGATGCAAGCTGAACCATACAAAAAGCCAAGTTTAATTCAACATTAATAAAGTAGAGCCTTTGAACTCAATGTCACTTCTGACAGCTTTCTATGATTTATTACTGTTTACCCTCACAACAAGTCAATAAGAGAAAGAGAGAGGAAGAGAGAGAGAGAGAGAGAGAGAGAGAGAGAGAGAGAGAGAGAGAGAGAGAGAGAGAGAGAGAGAGAAATAAAAAGAGAAAAACATCTTTAAAAATGTTGTTTTTAATAAAATAATCAACAGGTTTAACCAAAGTGATCAATTTGACAGATTACTACCCATTGAGCAAAACCGTCTTTTGGACGTCGTTTCAACAAAAAAATATGTATTTTCAACAAAACCAAGATGTCTTTTCAGCTTCTTGTGCTCATACGGCAGTGTTTGCATAAAACAGACATTGCACCAAAGTCTGGCTTTGACCACAGTTTATTGTTGCTCCTCAAAAAAAAAAAAAAAAAAAAAAATGCCAGTAATGAAAACACACTGCTCTTTTGACAAAGACAAATTCAAGTCATTTCTGATCGGTGGGAGGCAGCTCTCTAAGATCTGGGTCAGGAATAAGAGCTGCTGTGACCCAGGTCCTGAGTCCTGGCAGTGATCCTCTTGCCAGAGAAAGAGGGGTCTTTACAGACCACCTGCTTTAAAACCCAGGGGGGGGGGGGGGGGGGGGGGTGGCGCCTCGATGTACATAAGAGGCTAAGATCGAAAGCCAAACCAAGTTGGCACGACGGCATCAGATTATTTGCCTTTTGCAAGTACGTTAGAGCTGTGAGGATCTTTGCTATTCTTGTGGACTCTGCTGCAACCAACCCAGTTACATATAAATGAATCCTCTGTGATAATTAAACTTTATAGAGAACCACCAATCCTAGTTGTGGTAATAATGACTGCTGTCAGTGATGTGGCTGTCCCCTGGATTCCTCACCTGGATGTGGCTAACCTGACTCTGGGTCTGGGGCTCCCGGAGCCATCCGTCCTCCAGCCAGTGTGGGACTACCTCCTGCAGTACCACCAGGCTGAGCTGCGGAACCCTCTGTTCCCTGTGGTCATCTCCGTCTCCACCTACCTCCTCCTGGTGACCCTCTACACCCTATTGGACGTCCTGGCCCCCAGCTGGCCCACCCTCAACCGCTTCAAGCTCCACCCAGACAGACCTGTCACCTGGGACAACATCTGGTCCACGCTGGGTCTCACAGTCTACAACCACCTGGTCTATGTCTTCCCCGCTGCTGTGGGCCAGTGGCTGTGGAGGCCACCCGTACCGCTCCCTCGCGAAGCCCCCACTCTAACGAGCTTCCTCCTGGGCATCCTGGGGTGCACGGTGGTCTTTGACTTCCAGTACTACCTCTGGCATCTCCTCCACCACAGAGTCCCCTGGCTGTACCGTACCTTCCACGCCATGCACCACCAGTACCTTCAGCCCTTCAGCCTGGTCACC